CTTACTTTAACGTTAAATTAATGACAAATATTTTATTATTTTAAACAAAGATCATGATTTATTTCTTTACCAATAAAAATAATAAACTTAATGAAAAAATAGCGATCATTTAAATTACAAAAAATAATAGTGTTAATGATTAACAAAGAATCATGAAAAAAATAAATAAGTTATGAAATACGTATTAATAAAACATATACAACTTTTATTCATAACAAATATCTTAATATCTTATTCATACATAGTCAATTTATGATAAAAAATAAATAAATAAAAGGAAAACAAAGAAAAAAGAATTAATTCATATATTTATACGTATGTTTCATGTTATTTATAAGTAATGAACAAGTCTACGTATACGTAGTAATTTATCATAAAACCGAACCCGAAATTCAAAGTATATATGCAATGCTAGGTTAGGAACGATCTTTGAAGATCATGATCATTTCGGTTATATGAAGAAGCGTAACAATAACGATAAGAATAGCAATAATACTGTAATATATATAGTAAATGTAATATAGAATGATATAATATTTATTTACACAATAATGTAATATGTATACGTAGTAATGATAAAATATTTATATAGGAATAATAACAACAATAACAATAATAATAATAATAATATACGTATGTATACGTAGTTATTATTATCAGTAATACGATTTGTCACGCAGATCACGTGCATAAAAATTTATGATCGTCACACTTAAATTTTATATTAGTTTAATTTGAAAGTAAAGGATTGTTTATTCTCTAGCATTTGAAGGTTCTTCTCATAAAATTTTAGGGGTGGTTAAAAATAAAATCTTAATTACAATTTTTTTACGATTTACATATCGATATTGGTTTATTAGTGACGCACCTCATTTGACCCCCCGAAATTGATGATCATCATTCATTTTTTGGTTAAATGAGGTGCATTTATACTAAAATTTTGTGAGAAGAACCTTCAAATGCTACGTAGAGAATAAGCAAACCTTTACTCTCAAATTAACCTGATTATTTCTAATAAGACCGGAAAGCATTTTTGACTCAAATTTTAATATAAAATTTAAGTGTGACGATCATCTGATCTATAATAAAAAAATTTTACGTGTGACAAATCGTGGTAGTGTTATATATATAGTTATATTATTATTATTATTATAATTGTTATTAGTTATTATTATAATTGTTATTAGTTATTATTATAATTGTTATTAGTTATTATTATTATTATAATTGTTATTAGTCATTATTATTATTATTATTATAATCGTTATTAGTATTATTATTATGATTACGATACTATTATTATTATTTGGCAGCTTACTAGATTCTAGATTGCCAAATAACGAAAGTCATTTTGTGGTCTGATCGTTGGATAATATTGTTATAAAAAACTACTACGTAATTTTTCTTCGGGATTCATAATACCCGTTATTGAGAACTCATCCAATAATTATATATCTATAAATCATTTGAGTAAATCAGATTCAACCCCTGATCGACTATGTAATTAAATTGTAGGCCAAAGTCTGGAGGTACTGTTATTAAATATGTCGCCGATCAAAAAAATGTCGAAACTAAGTTCATTAAAATAGATTTGAAGCTTGAAATTATTATGATTTTTCCGTTGGCGACACCTATTCATTTATCAAGAAATCAAATGGATTAACACTTAAATGAGTGATGATTAACACATAACTAACGTAACTAACGTTTAACATCTTATGATTGATTAATGGTATTCCCAAATTTAGGTTTATATTTAAACTTAAATAACCAATTAACATTTAGAGTAAAAAAGATGATCACGTTTTTTTTTCAGAATAAATTAGTGATAGACGATAAGTAACGAAATGAATATTTATTATATATGACTGTGTATATATGACTGTGTAAACTTGAATCATATTCATATATTATAATATTATGACGTCGTGATTGCATAAATATATTGAATCGAAAAACAAAAAAAAACCGCAAAAAAAAAATTTTGTAGGACGAATTAAATGTAAACAACCATAGACACATAATACACATAATACACAATACGCATAATACGTTTAAGTTTTAAAAAAAAAAGTAGGAACATAAAGTTTCATCGTCGGATACACGATGCACGGTAAAACTAACCGAAAGCATTAAAGTAAAACTTGTACACACAACAATAAACAACACAGTTCAAAAAAAAAATATCGCAGGATTTAAAAAATTATGAATCGATTCGGAAATCGAAAATCGCGTTTTGAATAAAATAGAGTAAGTATTAGGGAAATTATAATTTCAACCCTTTTTTTTTTAAAAAAAAAGAGTAGGAATCGCGAAATCCCAAAGGAATTATGAAATCGCGTTTATAAACTCGTAAACATTAAATGTTTCATGATAAACTATTCATTGCAGTAGCTATAGTGTTTCATGATTTACATTAAATATTGTAGAACAAATGAATCAAAAGAATTAAATAATTAGGCATAAATGATCTCAGATTAAGCATGAAAAGATTTCATAAATGCGTACGAATAACGCATATAATGCACAATACATTCTTAATACATATATATATAGTTTAAACAATTGCTTACAAATGTATAGGTTTCAAATTTACGATATCATTGGTAAAAATTACTCGCCGAAATCTATTACTTTTTTGTTTAAAAAAAAAAACAAATACATTAATGGTTGATACAAATAACAGAAATTGGAAAAACTTGGAAAAACTTGGAATAATCTCAAAAAAAGCTTACAATAAGAAATGTAGAAAGGTGTGCACGGACTAGAATCTAGACCTAAGCGATTTTTAATCAAACCTAAGCGGTTTTTAAACGATTTTTAATCAGGGATTTTTCATTGTCTCAACAATGAAAAATCATGAAAAATCATGAAAAATCCCTGAAACATTACATAATTCAAGATAATTAGCACGGACCTACAACTTAAATAACATTAGTAAGTAACGGTAAAAATAACTATTGAATCAAAGATAGAAAAAATAGAAATCGAAAGTAGAAATCAAGTATTAAATATAGAAATAAAAGGTAGAAATCGAAGATAAAATCGAAGGTTAGGAGTTTAGAGTGTATTCATTGAATATAAGGCTTGTTATTAGAACTTATTGAAACTTATTGGAAGTTATTGGAAGTTATTAGGAGTTATTAGGAGTTATTAGGAGATAAAATTACATAAAATATTTACTTTTTTTTATTTCATGTGACATTTTCTATTCATTAAATACATTAAATTTATTAAAATTTCAGATCATTCTTAAATGATAAAAGTACAAAAATGCTTCTGACATAAACATGACATGTTGATCGAGTATCACATTCTTGTTTAGCAAATGATTTCATAAGAATTTCATAATAAAGTCATGTTCAAAAACGAACGTGTTACTTAACCTTGTTTAAAGTTTAAAAATCCCTTTTTTTAATACGTGTATAATAATCATACCACCACATGATGATCTGTAAACATCATAATATAATAGATTAAAGTTTTAGTCGTACTTGCGTAGAAAAGTTTCACGTTTCTTTAGTCTGTCGTAAGATGCAATGTTTTTTTTTCCGCATTTAGGTATCCGCGCGCAATCCGATAATTCGGAAATTCTTGTTCAATACGATCAGGCTAGTCTGTCCGTTAATGTTAACCGTTATTACTAAACGTTTAATGTAAAGTATTAACTTTATTGATTTATATATCTTTTTTTATGATTTCTACTGATACCCCGTGAAATCTACTTTAAATTTAATTCACATTAATTTACAGATAGTCTACAAATAGTCTACAATAGTTTATAATATTCATAAAATGACGACTACAAACTCAATACGAATAATGATAATGGTGATTTTCATATTACTTATCCCTCATGTTATTGAAGAACGAATTGGTAATTTGGCTTGAAATTGTTTATTCGGTTACAATTAAAGTTGAAATTAGGTTATATTATTTGACTATCAGGAGAAAATTATAAAGAGGAAATCTTATTTGTTAACTCAAGTTTCTTTGTAACTCAATTCACTTTTACAAGTCAAAAACAATTCGGAAATTTTATAGCAAGTTTCAAGGCGGTTTCAAACGTAATATAATGTTATAAATTCTTTGTTAATCGAGATTACTTATTCTTTTGCAGTTTGATTTCTAATCATTCTGAAATTTAATTTCTTTAATTTAATCATTTGTTATCATTATTTTGTTTATGTATACTTATACGTAACGATAAGTCAAAATATATTGTATATATATCCGATTTATATTTGATGCTATATATTTGATACTATATATTTGATACTATATATTTGATGCTATGTACACGGTGAACATCCTAAATTCCATTCATGTAACCAATAACTCTTAAATTATCATGCAAACTAAATATCAATATATATCAATATTCACGTATAATTTCACGTTTTACGCGAGGGTGTTACATTAAACTTTTATACGTATGTTCATACATTATCTACTGTATACCGATACGTACAGTATATATAGTACATACCGATACAGTATAACATATAACATATCGATATCTGATATAGTACGTACATACGTATACAGTAATAATATATATATAGTACATATCAGTATATATAACTGATAATCCATGCTAGTAGTATATATATAAATATATATTATATAATATTATATACGTACTATATATATATATACATACTATATATGTATATGTATCTGGTATGTGTACACAGTTATACGTACATATAATCTAAGATTCAAAATTTATTAACTCAAAAGTTTAATACTAGCTCCGTGTAATTTTGTATTTAAATGTTTGAGTCGAACTCTCAAAAAAATTTTTTTAAAAAAAAAAATCATATTTTTTTTTTTTTTTTTTTTTTAGATCAAAGATTTTTTTTTCGTATCTGCATATACAAAACAATAAAATTTTCGGTTTCATCATAATCGTCATCCTTTGGTTACTACCTTTATTACTTTTTTTTTATTACTAGTTCATATCATATATAGATAGATATATAATAGATAATATCAACATGGGTAATTGTCATTCAAGTAAAAAAGCGTCTAGCTTAGATAAAGAAGAAGAAGATTCTAGTGTACCTTCTGGAATTATTACTCCTAGATTCTTCAACGTGAGTCGATCTACCCAAAATTTTCATGAAGCTTCAAAAAGTTCTTTTGAAACTGATATTTCAGAAGAGAAAAGACTTCAATCGCTACATGATTATATGTCGAATCTATGGCAATCTAAATTCTTTTCCCCAATACATCAAAAACTAAATAGTGGTGCTGTTAAGGTTCTTGATGTTGGGTCAGTATTTCATTTATATATATATATATATATATATATGTGCGTGTGTGTGTATATATTAATTATAAATATACTAATTCATTCCATACCGATATTTCATATTGATCTTTGTTAATAGGTGTGGAACTGGTGCTTGGATCATCGACATGGTAAGTTTCATACATCATATTTTTACACAATTTTATTATTTTCACATTTAAATATTTTCTCTAATTATTCTTTTTATTAAACTAGGCGAACAAATATCCTCACACAAAATTTATAGGTCTAGATATGTCACCAATATTTCCTACCTCTAATCTTCCTTACAATGTTGAATTTATACAAGCTGACCTGCTTAAAGGACTTCCATTCGATGATAATACATTTGACTTTGTATATATGAGTAATTTAGTTAGATATTTGTCGACGAAAAATTGGGAAGATATTGTAATTAAAGAATTGGTCAGAGTATCAAAACCTTACGCATTCATAGAAGTGGTGGAAGGTGATTTAACTTTACATAACAAAGGTCCTGTCACTACTAAATTACATGAAGCTTGTAAGTATATGCTTTTATTATATTTTATTATATTCAAATATGTTTGAATAAATATATTTGAATATATTTGATGTTTGTGTATAATGCTAATGTTTTATAATGATAATGTTTTATTTATAATATTATTCTTTTTTTTTTCTAGTCCTCGCATCTATGCATGCTAAAGGAATTAGTCCATTGATTGAAACTATCATTACTAGAATTTTTCAAACAAATCCAAACTTGTCAAATTTTAATGTAGAAACAAAAATCGGTTATTTAAATGCGTGGGAGGGTTTACAGGTACTTCATTCATTTAACTTTTTTATTTACCTTTCTTTATTTATCTTTCTTTAATTTATCTTTCTTTATTTACCTTTCTTTATTTTTGCCTGTTTTCTATAATTTATTAGAACTTAGAAAATGGGTTACAAGTATTCAAAATGTTAAAAAAATCAAATCTAGAATTTATGTGTTATACTCCATCAGAATATGATGCTATGCTTGAAACTTATGTAAAAGAAACAGATGAATATAATACCTATTGTAAATTTTATCGTTTTTATGCTCAAAAAATTGATTTACCTCCGACTCCAATTTCACTTAAATCTCCAAATTATATAAATTATTCTCCTTCGTCAACTTCAAAAAATTTCCCTCAAAAGCCTCAATTACCATTAAGAAGCAATTCTGCTAAAGTTAATTCTTCAAATAGTTTAGGTAACTTTAAAAATAATTCTTTAAAAAAAATCCCTTCCCATCAAAGTTTAACATATCAAAAATTATCATAAAAGAAATTTTTTTCGTTATTTTTCTTTTTTGTTTTGTTTTTGTTTATGTACTACCATATCATTCTTTCTCGTCAATAATACTCCATTTGTAAAGTCCCCCCCACATATCCTTATATAGCGTTACTAATAATTCATATATTGTAAAGCTTATTCTCCAATTTTTTAAATATTGTACAATTGTTTTATTTATGCTATTACATAGACTTGTCTTTGGTGAATTTCTTCATTTTTTAAATGGTAAATGGTATTCAAAAAAAAAAAACATATTCAATCAACATATTTAACCATATTCAATCACATTAAACATATTAAAACTGTGGTGTTCAAGTACATATATATATATGTATATTATAAATTTATATATATTATAAAACTTTATATATATTATAAAATTTTATATATTCTACATAAAAAAATCTTAATTTATTTTGTATCCCTGCATACAATAACAGATAATTCATATATCAAGTATGACGTAATTCATATTACTATTATCATTTCTGCATTACTGCAATCTGGATATCATTATGTCACAATCTCATTGAATAAAATCCCCCAAGAGTTTTTACTGTCATGTCTTTTTATGTAGAACTGACAGAGGTAAATGAACGAATGTGTGCATGAATGGAAAAAATACTTACCCAATAATTATCCAATAATTGCCAATAATTATCAATAATTGGTCGTTATGTTGTTTTTTTTTTTGAGCTACTGCATTTTTTTCTTTTTTAAAAACAAAAGAAAAAAAAAACAAATACATTTCTATATATATATCTATATACATACCCTTCTTTCCCCACATATTCTTTTCACCAATCCCAAGTTTTTAAAAGCAAATCTGGCCCAACTAAAAAAGCCCAGTGGTAACATTCTTGATAATTATTCAATTTTAGTATTTTTTTTTTTTTTTTGTAACTGAACGCACCAAAGAAATTATTTTAATACAAAAAAGAAAAGTTTCATCAATTTTTATATAAAGAAAAACTTTTTTTTTTTTCAACACCAATCATTATATTTATGACTTTCGTGATGCTTTGACGATTAGTCTTTGTTCATGTGATCTGCAAAATGTCACAGTTAGTACTAGGTTTCATCTGGATTAGTAATACTCCGTATTGATTTTTATTGGTTTATTTCTTTTTGAATTGTTTACTAAAAATTCCTATTTTTTTTTTTTTTGCATCGTTTTCAAGTTTCTTTGAATTGTCCCATTAAAAAAAAATTATATCTATATTTCCCTATTCTATTCTATTCTTCTCAGCATTGATTATTGATTATCTTCTCGTTATTATTATTATATATTATCTTCTCGTTATTATTATTATAATATCTTCTCGTTATTATTATCTTCTAGCTATCATTATTATATTATCTTCTCGTTATTATTATATTATCTTCTCGTTATTATCGTTATTATCTGTTATATTATTTTCTCAATTATGCATCTGTGTACTATTCAATCGCTAGTTGATGGTTTTTGTTTTCCAATCAAGTTATTGTGATATCATATTTGTTTTAATTATCCAATCAATTTCTTACGATCATGTTATTCGATCGATCTTCTTTTACGTATGTACGTATGTACGACGTATGTAAGCACCTAGGTTCGTAAGCATTTTCATATTTTATTTTATTGTTACATTTTCGTTATCTAATACGAAAAACTTTACATTTTTGTAAAGTGTCAAGCATAAAGTTGGCTACGTACGTTATCATATCATAACCTGATACATAATAGCATACGTAATAGACAGTATAGGTGAGCTAATACGTACGTACGTGCGTATTAACTTTAATCTATTAGATAATTTTTATAGATTATCGTTACGTATCGGTATAATACACTACCTAGTTGGTTTTATTACGTTCCGTTTATTGGTTCTATTTGAAATGATGTTAAAGTTTAAAAATTCTGATCGATTCCCTACATAGTGCCCTACTTATTATAACAGTTAATATAGACTTTCCTTTTGTTATGTCTTATATATATTGTGTGTGTCAAATCATTTTGCAAAAGAAATTATCGCTAATACTTGTTTATAAAAGACCTTTTTTTTTTTTACAAATATTGACTCATTCGGTTATTTTAAAAATTCCTATATATAATCTGCTAACTTCTACTTGGGGTCTTAGTGATTATACAAAGTTTCTGGTTTAAACATGACTACGTCACAAAGTTATCTTATTATATAAAGATTGAACCGGGTTACTCGGGTCATTTGAAATAAGATTCGGTAATTATCCAAATTTTTTGCCATCGATAGGATTTGAACATCCAACCTATCACTTGAAGGTTGACAACCTGACCACTTTACTAGATTGTCACACCCTTCTAATTACAATTATTAAAAATTTGTATTATAGTAATCTATTAAGAATCCATATTATTTTATTATTTTTAGTATTAGTTATTCTTATTATTATATTATTATTAGAAGTTGCTAGAACTTTCTGGTTATTTAGTAATTATTTAGTCACTTAGTCACTTAGTAATTAGTTGTTTAGTAATTATTTAATTATTTAGTCACTTAATTACTTAATACTTAGTCATTTAATCACTTAAATACTTAGTCATTTAATTACTTAATTACTTAATATTTAGTTATTTAATCACTTAGTTATTTAGTTATTTAGTCATTTAATGCTTAGTTACTTAGTTATTTAATTGTTTGATTACTTAGCTATCTAGTTTATAAATATATAAACTTTACAAAAATCTTTAAGTTCAATTAAACAACAGATACTTTCTTCCTTTTAATATTATAAATACATTTTGTAATTCTTTATAAACAGAAACCTAAAAATAATTCTTTTTGTTATTATTTTAATTAAACAGTTTTTAATTATAAATTGTATTAATATTCTCTTCTAAGATAATTCTTACAAGCAAGATTTATCTTTCTTTAGTAAATAAAATAAAGTTATTAGTATTGTATTATCTTTTATAAAATATCTCAGAAAAGAATATAGTTTTTTTTTAATCATTTTTAACAAAAACTATACTTTTTTCTTAAACATTACATATACCTATAAGAGATTTTCTATATTGTATTATTATTATAATATGAAAATTAAGAAGATTTTCATTTATAATATTTGATAAAAAGATTAAAAATTTTTTAAAAAAATAAATTATTTTAAACAAGACATTTTTAAATATATTAAAAAAATTATTCTAATAAAAAATTCAAATAAGTATTAGTTATTTTAACAAAAAACTCAAACAAGTATTAGTTATTCTGACAAAAAATCTGGACAAGTATTGGTTATTTTAATAGAGTTCTAAATATATATTAGATTAATTAAACTCTTCTTTCTTTATAGTTCATACTACTGCTAAACTTTATAATAAAAACATCTAAAGCCATCAACAAGCATATTTAACTGAATTTTATTTTGTAGTAGACATATTTTAAGTATAGCATTCAGATTTATCTTGTCTCTAGTGTTACTTCCCTTAATATACTAATTCTTGCTTATTTTTTAGACAATTTTGAACTTAGTACAAAACTACCTTTTTAATTCAATATTATTTTTCTCAAACTCCAAACAATTTTATTATTCTTATTTTCTATATTCAGATCAAGTTACAGTTTGCTTTTGTATTAAAGATATTATTTTTAGTTGCTGATACCAACAAAACATTGATGATTCTAAAACTATAGTCTTAATTTTAGTTAGAAGATATACTATTTTTTTTCAACTTTCTATTCTATTTTATAAATACCAAAACATCTTTAATCTTTATTTCAATATTTCTCAAAGTTTTAGTTTTAAAGAATCAGAAGAATTTAGTTAATATCTTGTAAATTTAAAAAGTTCTATTTTACTACTTATTACTAATGATAATATTACTTTTTTAAATAATATTTTCTTTTTATACAATTCAGAAGATAGTCTAGTTCTTTATAATGAATTAGTTATATCTACTAAACTTTTTGAAAGTCATTACATTTTTACTTGGTCTTTACAAATTTCTCTATTAATTACTAATAATTTAGAAACAATAATATTACTGCTTCTGTAAACCTTACAATAACCTTTAGCTTACATCATACTTCTATTAATTCACTCTAGCAATAGCTTTTTGAAAAAAATCTTTTTCTTTATCTTTACTTCAAGTTATTCTTTCTCTATCTTAACCTATTGTTGTTCAACTCATATAGATGGATTTGTGAAATATTCTAAAATTTAAATAGTACAAATGTCAATCTTGTTATGACTGTTATTTTATTTGATATTTATTTTGATTGGCTAATTATGTAAATAGTAAAATTTAGAGCCTTATAAAAATAAAACTATACATACTTTTTTTTTTCGACATTATAATATTAAAATTTTTTTATTTATATCCAACAAGAACTTTAGTTTCAAAAATTCTATAATAGTTTTCACAAGCATAAAAACTTTTATTAGTACAACACTGAAAGATTTACTGCACAAAATACAATAGTATATAGCAAAGATCTTAAAAAAATATATATTACCATGGTATAAAAATTTTTATAATTATATTTAACAAACTTTTTTTAATGATTTCAAAGTAGGTTGGTTTAATTTTCAAATAGACTTAACTTCTACTAGCAGCTTATAACTGAATATTTGTTTAATTGGTTTGCTTAATCATCTAGACAACTTATTTATATATTTTATATATAAGTAATATTTGTTTAATTTAGACTGTAATTCATTTCTAGTAGAAGTGGTAATAAAAAAAAATAGTATATTAATAGAGAATGTACCTGTTAGGAAAATCTCTATTCAGTTATTATTAAACAAGTAATAAAACAGTGATGTTTTATAGGACTGAAGCTATATGTATTAGGTTTTGAGTTTAAATAAAAGTTTGTATCATAACTCATATTATCATTAAAACTAATTTGTTAATAATTTATAAAGTTATGAGAACAGCAATCTTCATTAAACTAATCTATATTATAAACATATACTTTTTAATTCTTATATTATAAATTGTAAGATATTATTCAGTATATTAAATCTCGATATGAAGAATTTTAAAAAAAATATATTTATAAACTTATTACTATACAGTATTATGACATTTATCAATTAAACTTCATCTTTTGTTGATGAAAGTTGAACAAATATCTGACTATATCTTAATAGTATCTTAACCATCCTGATTCAAATGCTAAATGCTTATTCTAAAAGTTGTTAGAATGGTTTTATAACAATAAAGAGCTATTAAAATGATTATTTAATACAACAATAAGAAGTTTTTAGAATAATTATTTATTGCTAATCATAAAAAACTATTAAAATGATTATTTAATACTAACTATAAAAACTATTAGAATGATTATTTAACAGTGCTATAATCATAATGAAAAATTTGAAGAATATGTAAATTGTTCACCTATATTTCATAAAATATTGGATAGATTTGTAAATTGCATCACAATTAGAAGTGCAGATGGAACTTAAGAAATTGGTATAGCACATACTGTAACTGAGTTATAACTAGTCATAACTTTTTGTTTTAAGTTACAGCATGCTGTAATTTGCATACATGCTGAATTAATTATGTTATAACTTTTTATATATGCTGTAACTCAATTTTATATGTCGAAACTTGCCATAACTTGTTATATTGTAAATATATTACAGTTGACTCCTGTTAATATCAACCTTGTTAATATCAACCTAAGCCACAAATCAAATTTTTATAAAATTTTATATATCAAAATTCCCTCATATATATTAACTTTAATATAATCTCTCATTAATATTACTATCAACATAATTTAAACCAATCTAAATGAGTTGATATAAACAAGGGTAGACTGTATTTTTATATGTAACTTGTCATTACAACAAAAAATTTTTATTTATTAAAAGCATACAATAACAAAGTATATATCAATATATATATTATTATTTTTCTTTTTCATAGTAAACATAGGTTGTATAACAGGTGTTATATGCCAAATAAGCTCAAATAAACTCATGTAATTTATTTGTTATTTGGCAAATTTAAAACATATCAGATCCTTAAAATTGTAATGTGACATAACCAACCAGGTTCTTTAAAATTCTGTTGAAGGTAACACAACATTACTAGATCTTTGAATTCTTTAAAATTTTGTTAAAAGTAATGCAATATTACTAGATCTTCAGGTTTTTTAAAATTTTGTTAAAAGTAATATGACATTACTAGATCTTCAGGTTCTTTAAAATTCTGTTAAAAGTAATGTAATATTACTAGATCTTCAGGTTTTTTAAAATTTTGTTAAAGGTAATGCAACATTACTAGATCTTCAGATTCTTTAAAATTCTGTTAAAAGTAATATGATATTACTAGATCTTTAGGCTCTTTAAAATTCTGTTAAAGGTAATATAACATTACTAGATCTTTAGGTTTTTTAAAATTCTGTTGAAAGTAATATGATATTACTAGATCTTTAGGTTCTTTAAAATTCTGTTGAAGGTAATGCAACATTACTAGATCTTTGGGTTTTTTAAAATTCTGTTAAAAGTAATATAGTATTAATATTTTAACATAATTCATAAAGACAGACTTTTTATTTATATCGATTAAAGAAAAATAAAAATAAATCTGTTATTGGATGCTATGCACCAATAACAATTGCATCTGGCAGTGAATTTTTATGCATTCATACCTGGATCTCTTCAGAGCCCAGGTGCTTATTAGAGATCTGCAACCTGAACTTATGCCTGTGTCCAACAAAAATCTAGGCATAGGCATAAGCACAAAAACTTAGGCATGAGCATGAGACAGACATAAAAAACTCAGCATAGGCATAGGCATAGGCACAAAAATTGAATATTATTATTTAATTATGCCTAGCACTTTGTCTGGCACTTGTGCCTGGCACTTTGTGTCTAGCATTTTGTGCCTATGCCTTTAATAATGCCTGACACTTTTATGCCTATAGGTACAGACATGGTATAAGGCACTAATACCCAGCCTAGTACCAATATGCTAGGCATAGGCATTTGCAGACCCCAAGTATTCATGCATAAAAATTTGCTGCCAGATGCTTTTTTTATTTGTCATCCAAAATAATCATCTTATGATCCTGTGGATCATAGTATTCTTATTTTTCTTGTCAAATAAAACTGTTATTAGATGCAAAGCATCCAATAACTATATATTATTATATATAAATATTATTTGATTGCTTTAGTATTTATTACTTTCTTTATTAAAAATTCAAGCTACTAAATTTGCTATATTGTAACTAAAGTTTTCTAAATCTACTTGTCGAGTATTTTAGTTTAATCCATATATTGATTTTCAATAAATGAATTATTATTCCTAACAATGACATCTTTTTTAGGCTGATTAGACAGAAAATTTTCTTCTTCGGATGAGTTATGTTAACTATCATCAACTTGAAATATAATAATTTTATTTCTTTTTTAAAGTAGTTTTGATAGTTGAGAAGAAGAAGGCTAATTTATAAAATGTTAATTGATATTATAATTTAATTTAGATAATAGCAAATATGAATTATTATTATTTAGAACTGAATTGTCTTTGTTTATATTTATTGTAGAAAAAACTTTTATTAATATACAAGAAAATATATAAACTATTTTTATTACAAATAATTTATTTTTATTACATCATTGATTAATATATTACATCAGATCTAATTAATTATATATATTAATTATAGTATTAATTAAATTAAACACCATATTGCCATAGTGATAGATATCAAATTTTTAATTTATCGATACAGTATTTTGAATTCATATAGCACTTGAGATTCATATAGCATTTGGGATTCATATAGCACTTAGGATTCATACGGAATTTGGGATTCATGCTGCAACCATAACTATAGCTTGCTATATGTTGTATAGTTTACTGAAACAGTTTTGCCTGCACCTCTAATTACAATATAGAACTTGAACTTTACTCAAGCTTTTTTAGGATAAATTTCTATATCACTCAATAGCAATTTTAACTGAGATACAATTACTATATATTCTGAAGAATCTACAATCTTGGATATTACTAATAAGGATCAAGATTCTGGTTTGATCAAGATAATATAACAAAGCAAATATAACATGCTAGGGTCTAAACTTTAGTATTAAATAAAAATAATGTTATGATTTAGAACTAAAGTACAAACATAAAAATCACAAATATGTGTTTATATAATTTAATGTATATATAGAAACTTTTTGTTGCAGAATGGTTTAAGTTTTTGATTAAACTATCTGCTATAGAAATTTTATAATATCTTTAAAAAAACTTAAAACATATCAAGAAATTTCTGACTATTCTAATAATCCTATAGTAAAATATATAATTTCTAAACAACATTATATGTATAAGATTATTGAAGCAAATGTTTAGCCACCTGAATCTTATCTAGCATAAACTCAAAAACCAAATGCATATTCTATTCTTGATAAATATATAATTAAACCAACTTATAGAAAATCAAAAACTACTATAACTTGTTTTGTTAAATATATAGCCAAAAGACCACATTTTAAGATTATTTTTAGATCTAATTCAAATAATTTTGTAAGTTCAAATTTATCAGTTACTACTGTAGCAAATGCTTATATAATAGTATATAATCAAAAAAAAGCTGAAGCAATAAAACATGGATCTAAAGTAAATATTTTAATTTATAAATATAAATAGTTTTTAATTTTTTAAAATATTTTAATAATTAAAAAATTATTTATTTATAACTTAGAGTTTAATTTCTAAAAGCAAAATAAATGAAATTCTTTTTTTGGGGTTTCAATTAAAGCAAATTAAAGAATATCGTAAAAAAAGAGCACATATTCGATTATTAAAACTTTTTAATAATCTTAGCAATAGAATGCAAATAAATCAAGAAAAAAGTATTAGTAACAATATACTTCAAGATTTTGAAATATATACTCAACAGCATTTTAATAATATTGATCAAGTTGAACTTAAAGAATTAGCATTTAGTGTTAATAATAATATTAAGTTCAGAATTACATATGGAAAAAATAATCAAGAATTACAACAACTTGCAATTATTAAAGTAACAGATAAAAATCAGATTTCTCAAGTAGTCTACTGATCTTTAGCCAGGATTAGTTATGATCTTTTATGAAAGTAGGCAGTTTCAGATCAAAAATTAAAATTAGATAAAAAATTGATAATAGATATACCTATTTAGTTTATTAATTTAGATTTATTTTATAAAAATAATAATCTTAATTTAAAAATTGATATTGATGACCAAGAAATTATTGATAAAATAACAATTTCAATTGGAAAGAGTGCTATACGATCTATAAAAAAAATTCTTTTATTCATAATTCTAACTTTATTACAAAAAAATATATTATTATTATCAAATCCAACTATACATATATGAATTTCTGGTGATGGTCAAAATATAGGATAAAAAATAAAGCATGTTATAGTTGCATTCACAATTCTCAATAATAAAAATAATATTCATCATTCTGATTATTACTTTTTTTTACTTTTATATCTTGGTAATGAGTCATATAATATTTTAAAATTAGCTTTATCATCATTAATTGCTGAATTAGAAAAAATTCAAAATGTTTTTTTTGATTTAGTTAGCAATTATTAGAATATTGTATTTTACTTATCTGCAGATTGGAAATTTTTAAGCATTTGTCAAGATCATAAAGCAGCAAATAGTAAAGATTATTGTCTTTGGTGCTTGGTCAAAAAAACTCAAAATAGAATATTAGAAATTAATAATATATGGCAAGATAATTGGACAATTTCTAAAAATATAGAAAATCTTGTTATTAATTATACAAAAAGTCCTGATTACATTAATAAGCCACTTTTTTCAATGATTCCAATTCAAAACTGGGTAGTAGATCATTTACATCTTATGCTTCGAATTATTGCCAGATTATGAACCCTAGTTATTAGTGAATTAAAAAATACTAAATGATATAATAATGAAATTCATCAAACAATTAGTTAAGAAATGTTATGTTTTAATGTCAAATTTTCATTTTGGGAAGATAATAAAACTTAGAATTATATTCACCTTATAGGTAATAATAAAATAAAGGTTTTGGAGCATTTGATTTTACAACTATATTTTCTTTTAATAAAGCAACCAAAATTTGTGAACTTTGAAATAGCTTTCTTGTTTTATATAAGGATATGAAAAATCTAGAAATTAGTAGAAAGAAATTTGCTACAAAAGCTTGACAATGAATTAAATTATTTTTTACTTCTTCAAAAGAAAAGATTAATAAGTCTAAAATTTTTGAACGTGAATTGTACTAGCCTGAAGACATTACCCTATATATCTATGCAATGATTTATCATGTATCCAAATTTATTGATTTTCATTGTCAGTTTGAAATTGATGCATTTTTGTGTCAGGTGATTAAAAGAAAAATTATGAGCATGTAACTTATTTTTTTAGATATACATGAAAAGATAGTGGTGAAAAAGTTAATGCAAAATCTGCTATATTGGAAATTATGAAATGCGAAAATTGCAATATATATTTTTTTGTTAATAAAATTCCTACTTATTTTGAAAAAATAGACATATTTATATCAAAAATAATTTGTAATATATATTTGAGTTCTATTTTAATATTTTATTATTTTGAAAGAACTATATTATTAAGTTTAATGTCATACAATGTAGCAGAAATAGTTGTGATAATTATGAAAAAACATTAGGATAGAAAATAAAAAAAAAATAGTTAGAATAATGAAAAATAATAAATAGTTGCATACATACAGTCCTTTTTGTTGTGTATAACATAAAAGATATAATTTCAGAATTTATATTTTAACAACAAGGTTGCTTTTGCAAGCATCAATTTTTTTTACTTACTACATAAAAACTAGATACAATATCAAGTAATAATAAGTAATAATCTTGTTAATAGGATGATTGAAGCTAAGTTAAATATGAAAGAAATAAAAATTAAAAGCATACCTAAGATGTTTGATAATGAAACGTTTCAAGAAAGATAATTAAAAATAATATAGACAATTCCTGCAATATAGATAATCATACATAAACATCTTTAGAAAAATAAAATTACAATAGACAAACATTTAGTATACAATTACTAAAGATTTGCTGATATATATATATATATTTTTTTTTTTTATCTTTGGCAGCCTTGCCGTAAACCTTTATTAAGATTCTTGTATCTATGTTACATACATTTTAACTTAAGTTACTGGTCCGACATCCTCCGGCTGCTTCTTTGAGTGCCCAGAGGCGGTTTGCTGCACTGGTTGGGGATATACCCGGATCCAAGGGCTGTACCAAACTAGCCAGTGAGGCCATATGTAAATGGCAAGATTTGCTGATATAAGTCTTACTGATACAACTTATAATCATAGATAATTGTTATTGAAATGTGCATCATAGCCAAAAAGAAATTGGTAATATAAAAAATCAAATTAGATGAAAAAAAATAATGATAAAAAGTATACCTAATTCTAATAAACATAAAACCTTTAATTAGTTAATTTAAATCGATCAAATTTTCGAATGTTTTATAAATAATTGATTATATGATCGATTAAGAAAATTTTTATCTCTAATTATCAAAAATTTGCTAATATAGAAGATACTGATACTGTTGAATATCTAATATGAATCATAATACTAAAGCATTTAATCTTAAATGTAAAGTTTTGCCTGGCTGGGTCACAAGATAAGAACATAAAATATATAAGGTTGGCTCTATAAAAGCATGATCTGCAGCATAAGTGACAGATCATGCTTTTATAGCATTCAGCAAAAGTCTGCTTCTTTTGTAACAAGAAAGGATATCTAAAAAAAGACTGTGAGCAATTCAAAAAGGCAGTTGAACTCAGACAACGATACAAAAAATATTAAGAAAATAAAACTAAAAAAGTAATAGAACCTCTATACAATGTTCTAGAACTTTCCAATATGCAAAACAAACTACCAAATGAAGCAACTCTCTGAAAAAAGAATTTAGCTACTCAAGAATGTGAAGTTATTGCAGTTACTATCTCACAATTCAATAAAGAATCTCTTGTTTGGACTAGCAACTAACTTGATTCAGAAATGGATAACAATAAACTTCTAAATCAACAAGAAGTTTCATCAGATATAGATAAAGAGAACTTAGTTACTTCTAATTAGCAACAACAAGCTGAAAGTCAATTGACTACACACCAAACTACCTCTTCTTTTGATCTTGAGGAAAAAGAACTAGAATTTACTTTAGTTACCAATAAGTGAAAAAAAGTTAAAAGAAGCTCTTACAAAAAGCAAGAAAAAGACAAACCCTATTTGAAAACTAGAATTCCAAATAGAAATAAGACCTCTGAAAATACACAAATCCCTTCTTTATCTAAACAATGACTAAATCAAAATTAACAACAGCAACCCTAAACGTTAAGGGGCTCAATGACAAACAAAAACAAAGAAACACTCTAATATTATTAAAATCATATAAATTGGACATTATTCTTTTACAAGAAACAAACCTTAGCAACAAAGATACTAGAGAATTTTTGTAACAACAATGGCCTTTCGACTCAATTGGGTCAAGTAAAGCAGCAATTCTAGTAGGAAATAAAAATATCTTACTTAGAGACAACAAAATTGAACAAAATAGAAAAGTTATTACAATAACTACATCATACAGAAACTATACCCTCAAAATCACAAACATATATGCACTACCAAATCAATCTGATAGAATTTTTTTTTTTAATCAGTGGATTTCAACAATAAATCCAGAAGTATAAATATAATTAGAGGAGATTTTAATACAAATATTTATCCAGACAGAGATCGAATTAGTGCTTTATTAGCTTAAAAAGACATATTAAGAACTTTGCTTTTAGAAAATCTTAAGAACTTTACAGATATCTCTTCAGTCTCAAAAAACACACCTCTCCTTACCTTTTTCTAAAGAACTTAAGAAAATAGAACTATAGCCTCTCATCTTGATTATATTTTTATCGATAAGGATCATTCACACTTAGCTACAAAGCTGAACACCTTATATGATAATTCAGATTACAAGTTAGTGAAATATGTTTTCAACTTTCAACAAACTTTAAGTGAACCAACAATTTGAAAATTCGATAAAAGAACCCTTTCAAATACTCTGCTTGAAAAGAATCTAAAAGAAGAACCACAAGAAGCAATAAATAGCAATGATTGAGACTTCACTAAGATCCAACTACAATTAATTATTAGAGCTTACAAAAAGCCCAAGACAACTAAAAACAATATTATAAAACTTAACAGAAAAATCACAGATCTTAATAAGAGACTAGCAAACAATCCATCTAACAACAGTTTAAAAGCACAAGCAGATAATTTAAACTATTAACTGCAGAAAGAACTTACTGACATAGCAGAAAAATAACAGATATGCTCAAAAGCAAAATAGATTAAGTAAGGAGAAAAATCAACTAAATATTTCTTCGCCAGATACAAAATAATGAAAACATATATAGCATTGTCTGAAATAAAAATTCCTAATGCATCGACACAAAATGAAGATGATACTTTGAAATACATAAAAAACCAATATGCTGAAATCTACAGCCAAGAAGAAGTAGATTTTGAAAATATTAATGAAATTACAAAGAACATCAAGCAGATTACAGATCGACAAAACATTTTACTTACTAAAACCTTCTCAAAAGAAGAAATTACAGAAGTAATCAAAAGGCTTCCAAACAACAAATCTCTAGAAACTGATGGTCTTACCTATAAATTCTACAAACATTTTGAAAAGGCCATTACTCCTATTTTACAAAAGGTCTTTAATGATATACTATCTACTGGCAATATGCCCATCTTATAAACAAAAAGTCTAATCACCTTAATATCTAAGAAATTCTTAGAGTTAAATAATATTAACAACTAAAGACCAATCTCTCTAGTAAACAGCGATGCCAAAATTTTTATGAAGATTTTGGCTAATAGGCTTAATGAAATATGTAAAAACCTAGTTTTAGAATATCAGCATGGCTTTATTAAAAGTAGAGCCATAACAGATATAGCACTAGATATTCTAACAATTATGAGAAATCAGCAGAACAATACTAAGCAAAACTGGCTGCTTCTAGTAAACCAACAAAAGGCATTCGATTATGTTAACTATAACTATCTCTCAGAAGTATTAAAGAAAATGAACTTTAACTCTAAATTTATAAAGCTAATTAAAACCCTATTCACCAACCAAAAAGCATATATCACAGCTGCAGGCAAGATTTCTGCACTCTTCAGAGTTGAAAGAGAAGTGTGACAAGATGATCTTCTTTTGCCTCTTTTATACATTTTGGCCTTTGATCTACTGTTACAAAAACTGAACAGAGAACTTACAGGAATCCAAATAGAAGATGCAGCCTTTAAAGCTTCAGCTTATGCAAATGATCTCACACTAAGAATTGGTTCTAGAACAGACTAGAACACTATCAAAAAAAACTTCACTCTATATAAAAGAGCCTCAAATGCAAAAATCAACTAAGACAAATCTAAACTAATTTTACTTACAAATGCAGCCCGAAGTCTTGAACTAGCAGATGAAAAAAATCTTAAAACAATATCAGAACAAGCTATTACCATTCTGGGCTATGAAGTCTATTCCAATGGTCTTCCAAAAAAAGATCTTTGGTCATCTACAATTAACAAACTTAAAAGCTTTTTTGAAAAGCTAACAAACAGAAATCTTTTATTTAAAGACAAAATACTTTTAGCAAACTTCTTGATTTTGTCTCAAATTTGATATACAGCATATCTACTCCTTTCAAGCAAAAAGCATACTGCAAAAATCAATAGCATAATATCTTTTTGGATTAAAAACAGATCCAAAATGCTTCTAAGATTTGCAATATTTTAACAAGCATACAATGCAGCAAAGTTGCAAGCTTCAATAATAGAAGAAATGCTTAAGGCACAACTACTCTCTATATAGCTAAAGCTACTCTCAGAAAACCATTTCTGAGTCAGACTAGAAAGAAAAAAAATAAATAACATATTAGAGCTTAAAAGAAACATATCAGCTCATACTGCCTTAAATACTAAGGTAATCAGAACTAAAGCTTGGCCCAAAGAATGGAAACCTTATTTACTTGCTTGAAAAAAAGCTCAGAGCAAAATAAATATTAGTCACAATTGGCCTTGGAGCAAAGAAAATCTATGTTTAAGAGACTTTAAAGATAATGAATTCTCAGTCAAGAAAATTTTAAATTTTTGAAAAACTTCATGTCTACCTAACAATACTACCCAGTCGCAAACACTTCCAACAAACAACAATTGGCTCTCTGTTAAACTGATAAATAACAAAAAATTAGATACATTTTGAAGAACATTTTCACAAAGCACTACTTTTAGAATATCATCTAAAATAAATGAACCTTTCAATCGATAGAAGTTGTTCTTGGTGTCCAGACAAGCAACAAACAATAGATCACTTTGTCATTCATTGTAAGGCCAGCAAAGAGGTTTGGAGTAAAGCATATATTTTTTTACAAACTGGCATACAAGAAACACCCTCTTCTTTAATCAAAAAAATATTTAATACTAGCAACATTAAAGGTTAACACTATTTACAAGCAATTTTTTGGCTGCATATCAACATGATATATGAAATTTGGTGTTGTTATATATTAGCAAGATGGAGAAACAATATATATACATCTACAATAATTCCTTCTATAATAGCTTAGCATCTAGCTAATAAAATTAGAGTATTGTTCAAAAATATTAGTAGTGTTCCAAAGAAAATTAAGCTTTTTAAATGCTTAAAAAAACTGTAAATATTCTTGTATATTAGCAATAATTAATAATAAAAAATGTCATCTGTGTTTTTAAGCAATTAGCTTAAAAAAAAATAACTATATTAATACTAGTTTAAATTTGTATCAAGAGACTTTAAGTAATTCTATAATATTAGTTATAGAAGAAATATTATTATTTTAAAGATTAGATATAATTTGATTAATAAAATTTTGACAGAAATTTTGGTTCATTTATTTATAAACAAATATTCTATATTTAGTTTTGATTACTAATCATCATTTATTCTTAAAATAATATTAGTATATTATAATAACTAAATGTATTTTGGTTAGTATTATCTGTATAATAGAAAATTAGATATCAGATAATAGAATAATTAGTCTAGATATAATTAATATAATTGTTATATTTACTATTATATCAGATAGAAGTTAAAGATTATATATATAGATGCAAATCATTAACTCTTTCTGACAATCACTTGTATCAAAACTCTCTAATAATAAACTGGCAATAACTAAATAATTTATTAAATAAACCTTTTCTGGCCTCCTAAGTAAAATTGTTTACAACTAAATTTTACATATAGACAGCCTAGTTTTATATCTTTCAGACTTCTGTATAGTAGGATATATTTATTAAACTGTAAAATACTTTTTTTAAAAATTTTTAATAATCTATTAAGCTAACCTTAGTTACTATCTTAAACAAAAAGATAGAGCTCACTTAGAGCTTCATTTTGATATATTATACATCAATACTGGACTAATATTGAAGGTTTTATACAAAAAACCTTTAAAACTCCTTTATAAAACTTTTGTTCTTTTTTTGCAAAAAAATTTTTCTTTTTTTTGGGAGGG